TTTTTTTTTTTTTTTTTAATTTATTTACTTATTTTTGGCTGCATTGGGTGTTTGTTGCTGCGTGCGGGCTTTCTCTAGTTGCGGCTAGCAGGGGCTACTCTGTTGCAGTGCACAGGCTTCTCGTTGCAGTAGCTTCTCTTGTTGCGGAGCATGGGCTTTAGGTGTGTGGGCTTCAGTAGTTGTTGCATGTGGGCTCAGTAGTTGTGGCTCATGGGCTTAGTTGCTCCATGGCATGTGGGATATTCCCAGACCAGGGCTCGAACCCATGTCCCCTGCACTGGCAGGTAGATTCTTAACCACTGCGCTACCAGGGAAGTCCCAATACTTACTTTTTGAATAAAATGTCCCTCATGATTCTTGTTTATCTGGTATCATCCTAAAGATGGTGAAGCATTTGTCTGTGTGTGTGCATATAGTTTGTTTATATTTTACTAAATATGTAATAAAATCTTTTCGGATGGATATGACCAAAGTTTTTAACCTGGCCATATAAACCTTTATTTATCACATTAATTTTTGGTGTTGAATATATCCACTGATACATGAATGAGTTTATGATTGGATCATGGGATTTGTAGCATGCTAAGTAAAACTGTTCTTAACACAGATCCCAGTGTGATTCACTTAATGCCAATCCCTGCTATACTGTAACAGCATTGATTAAACCTTAGTACTGGGCTTTCCTGGTGGCGCAGTGGTTGAGAGTCTGCCTGCCGATGCAGGGGAGACGGGTTTGTGCCCTGGTCTGGGAAGATCCCACATGCCGCGGAGCGGCCGGGCCCGTGAGCCATGGCCGCTGAGCCTGTGCGTCCGGAGCCTGTGCTCTGCAACAGGAGAGGCCACAACAGTGAGAGGCCCGAGTATTGCAAACACACAAAAAAACCCAAAAAAAAACCTTAGTACTTGCCATCAGCCAGACAGATTTTTATCTAACTTATTTCATCATTCAGACAATACTTCTCCAGCCTTTTCTTAGGTAGTACTGTGTCAAAGGCTTTGTTATAATGTAGGTGAATTGTGCCCATTACATCTCCTTTCTCTACTAACTCTGTTACCACTCAAAAGATTTATAGACCTTAGAATTACTCATTTTCACCACTGATTGTAAACTGTAACTCAACCTATCTTATTCTTTCTGAAACTGTTACTTTACATCTTGGGATGTTTTATACAGTTGCCATTTTAAAAGCCAAATAGTTTTATCTTTCCTTAGTCAAAAATATCTTGTACTTATCAATATATCTTTTAAAAACCTTAAAAAATTTTTTTAGATTTCTGGTTATGTGTTTGTATCATATTTTACATGTTTCTTGGTGTTATATATTGATATATATGTCTGACTCTTGTTTTTAGTATTTATTTGTCTCACTAAATATTAATAACTATAGTAATAAAATAATTTAAATAAAATATTAATATCTGAGAATGTTCAACTCATGAGTAAAGCACCATATAGGAATTTCTAATCATGTTACCATTACCTTTTAAATTTTCTCTCTTTGGGTAAAGATATTTATTTATAGGTATTTTCAGTTTCATACTGTGTAAACTGTAGACAAGAATTTTCATAAAAACTTGTGATTTGAAAATATTTATTTAGGCACTAAAGATAAAATGTATTAATGAAATACTGTTATTTTTGCAATGGGTATAATAATTAAGCAAAAGTATTATTTGATTGTTCATTAGACACACAGTCATGTTTCTTGTTTTAAAATACATTAATATCTAATATAGTATGTAATATAATGTTTGTTCTTTTTGTATTTCTTCTGCAGAGAGTGATAATGAACTCTCAAGTGGAACAGGTGATGTGTCTAAGGATTGTCCTGAGAAGATCCTATATTCTTGGGGAGAATTGCTAGGAAGATGGTAAACTTTTTTTTTTTTGAAAATTTTATATCTACATAATTGATATTAATTTGCTTTATTAATTTAAATCTATGTGTTTATATATCTTAATCTTGAGATTACTTAGGCAGTCAATATAGATAGTCATCTAGGGGTTGAGCCCTCAACCACTCCAGTGTTTGGCAGTTGGAAAGATGAGTAGGAAAGATCGTGCAAAGGAGTCCAAGAAAGCTCCTTTGGAGGAAGAGAACCAAGGGTAGGAGAACCAAGGTAGGAATCAAGTGAATTAAGGCTATCAAGAAGGAGGAAGTGATCAACTGCTGATAGGTCAACTCAGAGGAAGCCTGAGAATTTCATTGGGTCCAGCGATTTGAATGTCAGTGGTTACTTGGACCAGAACCCCTCTGTGGAGAGGTAGGAATGAAAGCCTGATTGGACTATGTCTAAGAGGAAAGATAATCGGCAGTTATAGATAGATAGGTCTTCGGAGAAGTTTTGCTAGAAGGAGAGGATAAGAAATAGGGACATAATTAGGAAGTGGATGTGGGTTGAGAGATTATTCTGAAAATTAAGATGGTCAATATAGCCTGTACATTGTATGTTGTTGGAAATGATCTAGTAGGAAGAGAAAATTTGATAATGCCAGAGGAAGAGGACACAGTTGCAAGAGAAGTTGATGAATAGGCAAGAAGAGATGTACTTGTTGACTAGTGGGGGAGTTGTATTTAGAAGCGCAGAACATTCATTGTAACAGAAGGAAAGGTGGGGCATGGCTACAAAAGTAATAGCTGACTTAAGTGTACTTACTGTGTGTCAGGTGCTGTTCTAAGCACTTTAGATACCTTAGTTAATTATCATCATGACAACCTTCTGACTTAGGGATTATTATTATCTTCATTTTACAGATGAGAAAATGGAGGCGCAGCTATGTCAGGTAGCTAGTATAAAAATACACAACAAATAATGGCAGCAAATAGGTAACTTGCTCAAGATCCCATGGTCAATAAATAATTTGCCCATGATCATGCAGCAAGTAAATGACAGGATTTGAATCTAGGCAGTCTGGCTCCAGAGCCAGAACTTTTTAACCGTTGGACAGGCTGCCATTTCTATAATGTACATAGGTTTCTGGATTACTTTTTATAGGAGCATGTAGAAGTTTTAGTACAAGAGAGAATAAACTAGGAAAATTGATATCCTTCCCTGACTTCTCGTATGAGTTTAAAGAGAGATCATGAGAATGGCAGTATGGTGGACAAGAAAACAAAATACTTTTATGACTAATTAAACAGCCAGTTGAGATCTTTATTTTTAAAAAGCAAGATTTATAACTTGGTTCAATATACAGCATCCTCTTAGGTTCTAGGAGATACATAGATAAACACACAGTTCCTACCTTTGAGGTTCATGATCAAGAAGGGTGGGAATATACACTCATAACAGACCATTTTAACAAAATGACTGAAACAATGAGGTTGTTTCAAATTTCTTAACCATTTTGTTAAGAAAATGGTTAAGAAATTTCTTTTTTATAAAATGACAATCACTTGATTTTTTACCCAACTTAAAAAATTCATCTATTCTCTCTTAGGAATTGTGTGCTGATTTAAAGATGAATAGGAGATAATTCCTACCCCCAAAGAGTTTACCGTCTTACAGAGGCATATAGACATTTAAACAGATAATTGTGACATAATGGATAAATGCTTCTGTTAGCACTGAGGACCCAATGGAAATTTTCGAATGAACACAAAAGTAGAAAAAAAAAATACAATAAATGTGATAAAGAAAATCCCCAACAAATATTTTAAAGGTGAAATTGCTATGATGCTTTTTATTATTTAGAAAGGTAATTTTGGAGTAGGAAGAAACTATTAATAGAGAAGGTAGTTAGGATGTAATTGCATGGGTTGATGAGGTCTATACCAAACTCATGGGTCTTTTGTATGGAGAGGAGTTCCAAACAGAGAAAGCATTCTGAAGTAGAGTTGATGGGATTTCTCAGCTATCATTCAGTGTACATTTTTTGCAGAAATAAAATACCATCTTTCTACATTATATTTTTAGTAGTGGACTTCAAGAAACTCATTGAAAGAATCTGAGGGAACTATTTTAAAGGACTAAGATAACTGATTTTTAGACCTTTATAAAACTTGCTGGATCTTTTACAATTCAAGTATGTATTTTTATTTTATTTGGCTTATTATTGCAGTTGTGTCATGACAATTCATATGAAAATGATAAAATTTGCCTGTTTGAGAGTTTATATCTATTACACAAGAATTGACAAAATTTTTAAATTGCTCTTGGAATATCTTTTTTAAACATTCATCTTTTCTAGAGCTTTTCAGTGAGTCTTAGGAATACTAGCTTAGGGACTTACATGAAGATATTTTTGTGATTTATTTAGGTAAAGCACCTTTTGGGGAAAACACTACATTTTGTGCTTTGGGGAGATTTTTATGAGGAGGCAGCCTGTGTTCTCAAGGAACTTTTAAATAAAACATAGTTGAAAGTATTTTCAACTTATTATAAAACAACTAGATCACTCTATTAAAATAAAGTTAAGCTTTTATGGATAAAATCAGAATTCAGATAATGAAATATACTATTAGAAAGATATAAAGGAAGACTATTTAATACTAATTTGAAATAATCAAAAAAATAAGGATACTATGGAAAAGAAAATGGAAAACAGACTAAAATGTTCAGTGGTAGAGGTCTTCATACAAGACTGGAGTTAAGGTGTTTTGATGAAAGAACTAAATAAAAAAAAATGAGGAAACAAGGATTGAGAGAGGAGAGGGAGAGGGTCAGGGAGAGAGGAAATGAGATGTTTGTGAAGGGAGGACTTGGAAACAAACTGAAGTGGTAGCAAGATTTCTTTTTCCTGAATATATTCAGAATGGTAATGCTGATGACTTATACATTAAATTATTTAAAGAATTTAAGGAATTGGGGCAGAATTATTTCTGCATAGCTTAAGAAAGCAGAGTGCTGATGCTGAACCCTTAGATGTAAGTCAGCTTTTGTGGCAGGAAAATTTTCTAACCAAAAAAAATGAAGTGAACCTCTGAGGTAAAAATTAAGTATAGTTTATTATATATAAATAAAACCATCTTCAAACTACTCATTCTCTTTTGTTAGACTTTCAGAAAGTCAGTATGCATTTAACAGGCACTTTGATTATATTTTTCATAGCTATACTTACTATCACAGTGGGAAAATGTGTTCTTAATCCATGGTTTCTCAACCTAGCTGAGCATCAGCAAACTTGACAGGGGGAAAAAAAAAATCTAAACTTGGGAAACATGAAGGATTTTAAGCACTAAGCATGAACATCCATAGCTTCCTTCCTTTTCACATCAATATAATGTTCCACTTTTTTGACTAATGAAAAAACCCAGCAAAAACATATACAAATCAGAATAAAATATGTGTTCTTGATTTTCCCAGTGACCTTTAATGCGTCTCTTTTCTTGAAACTTTTCTTCATGTAGCTTGTTTAACTTAAAGTAAGACCTAGGTTGACATATCTAGGTCTTATCATTAATGGGGGAAGGACAAATCCCTAACTTTACTTGATGTTCTCCATCTTTTAGTTTCAGTTCTAGCTATTCCCTTTTCTGAGAAAACCTTTTAACATGGGTCAGGCTGCTGCCCTCACATTCTCATATCTTCTAACCATTTACTTCCACCTCCCCTCTATCAAAACTTTCCTAATTCCATCAGTGACCACTCAGTTTCATTCAATGGCTTTTCTTCTCATCTCTTGATTTCTCTGCTGTTTTTGTTAGAAATGATACCTTCCCTTTGAAATTCTCTTCTGGACAGCTTTAACAATAGAGAAAGTTCTTACATGCCCAGATAGTTTCAAGAAAAGATGCCTCTTTGAAGGTAACTAGATGAATATAAAACAGCTTTATGATGCTATTAGAATCAATGAGAATATTTGCTTTTAAAAAAGCATTCTTTAGCTTAGCCTTAGTAGTTGATCATATTAATTTAGTTTCATAAATCTATTCATTTACCTAAAATGTATTGAAGACCTTTTATATGCCAGGCACTGTTCTTGGTGCTTGGGATATATAACTAAAGAAGACAGAGATTCCTGCCCTTGTGGAGTTTATATTAATGCATTAAAAACTGCCCGATTACTACTTGTTTAGTATATGTCTGGTTTATGTGTGCCTTTTTGAATAATTTGGTAACTATCTTGCTTCTAATGCAGAGTTCGGCACCTGTCATAACTAGCCTATTTCCAAGTCTCTTGATAGCTGCAGTTAATGCTGTACGCTATTAAAGCAATGGCCATATATAGTTATATTTTTATTAGAAATATTGAAACAATGATTATTTCTATAGATTGTTCTTTTGTTTGGGTCTTCTCTGGTCATAGATGTATACTAGTAGCATTTAGCTTAGTGTCCACTAGTATCTCTTAAGTACTAGGGTGCTATATGCAATATAATTACTGTGTCATTACAAGAATAATCAGTAAATTAAAGCTGTTAATCATGTTGTGTTATGAATGACATAGTTCTTTTTAAATGTCAGTCTGTACAGATAAATAGTGCCTGGGTTTTTAAGAGAGGAGAAAAGACTTTTCTATTATACCCAGCCAAACAGATGGCTGAGGGTCAGCTAGAAGCTGAATGTTGGTTGAGTTGAATCATATTATGGTAAAATGTGTATTAGGGACTGTTGACTATTAACCTTAAGGTGTGTGTATGCATGAGTAGGAAGAGATATTCCAGATTCAAAATCTTATATAAATCATTATACAAAGTAATTTGAGCCAACATAACACTTAATCAAGCTGTTTGTCCTCTTCATTTTGTCTGCCGTATTGGAAGCATATTGTAGTAGGACGAGTGGATGTTAGGAGGTCATTGTAGAGGTTGTAGAGTGACTACAGTTGGTGGCAGTGGAAGTAGAAGTGCATGGATTTTGGACAGCTTGGGAAAATAAAATGCATTAGACTTCTTGATGGATTAGTAATGGATTATGGGACAGAGAGTAATGTCAACCATAACTCCTAGGTTTCTAATTTGGTTGGATTGTAGTGACAGTCACTGAGGTAGGATACCCTGGAAAACGATGAGGTTTAGGGAGAAAGAATATGAGTTTAGATTTGAGCATGTTGATTTCTGGAGCTCAGAATACATGGGCATGGATGACAATGCCCAGAGACAAGAGACTGAAGAGAATTAGATCACTGAGGGAAACTGGAGAGATTAAAAGCTCAGAATACTTAAGAGGTTAATAGAGGAGAAGCAATCATCAGTGGGGTTTGTGGGTGGGAGGAAAAGAGAGTGCTTTGTTATTGAAGCCGAGGGAAACAAAGTGGTCAACAGTGAAAGGAGTGAAAAATGTCTTTTGAATTTAGTGGCATAGAGAGGTCATATATTGCTTAAGTGAAAACTGTTTCTAGGAGAGAGAGAGAAGCCATGTTGAGCTGAGCTGAGGAATGAGTATGAGGGGAAGAAATAGAGATTGAGTATACAGCGATCCTTTAGAGAAATTTGATGTGCAAGGTAGGAGACAGTATGATATCTAGAGTGTGATGTGGGGTGGAATAAAGGTTTCTTTTATAGGAGATATTTATCGGAATTTTAATAGCTGTAGATACACAGTGATGACCTTGATTTCTATATAATTATTATATTGTACATTATGGGACTCATAATTCAGCATATTTTGCATTTAATTTCATAGGAAATGAGCTTAGCCCTTTGCACACTGTTGTTTTTAGTTAACTCATTTCTTTTTTTACATTAAGAGTACAGAAACTTTCCTAGCCCTCAAACCACATACGTTTTTCCTATTCAAAAGTGTAATCAGAATCAAATAATAAATTACAAAAAAGATCCTTTTATGACTGATCCTGGCTCTCTTGTGGTGCAGTATTCTTTTGCTAATCTTAAATTCAGTTGGATAGTGAAGAAGAGGCAGTAGGAAGGAAATCCATGTGTCATACAGTTTACTCAGGTGTAAGTCTTCTCAAGAATAATTAATACTCTATCTACTTGACATATTTTATGGAACATATTTAGCTATAGTGTTTTTCCAAATTAACTAAATTTATATTTTAATTGAAGTCCATGAGAGAAATTTAAAGACCTGAAATGGGTTTTCTGGTGTATTATTATAAAAACATTCAAGACCGTTGTAAATATTTCAAACAGTATAGGAAAATAAAAGGAGTACTTTTCTCTCAATTCCATTACATAGATATTTTGGAGTTTATTCTTCCATATTCTTTCCCT